ATATTTTTCGGCCATAAACGTGGCGATGGCCCTCCGCCTCGCTCCACGCGTGTGTCTGCTTGAGCGGCACAATGAGTAACGACTGAGTAACTCCCGCAGAGGAGGGTGGGCGTGCGTCCAGGCAGAGGCGAATGTGCTCCTCGGGGGCACTTTGGATCGGCAACGCCACGGTAGCCCTGAGCGGAGGGCGCCTCGCCATCACCTTGCATAAGACCTACTTTTAGGGGACGAAAACCGGGGTGGCGGGTTGTAATGCCCTGGTGTGTGTGTGGGGAACCCATAAAAGTCCTACAGGGGGGCGAGGATGAAGGGATGGGTACCCCTCCGCTCCCCAAAAAGGTTCAGCACGGCGAGGCGGGAGGGCAGCGGGCGGTGATGCCGCCGGGCGTTGGGAAAGGAGGATCTGGGCGACCTTCTCTTCTGACTGAGAGAGGGGCTGGAACGCTACTCACAGCTCGGGAAGCTGACGGAGCCTTCGCTCGAGGTGGCTGGGATCCAAGTTGCTCAGTCATTAAACCTTCTCCCCTCTTCCACGTGCGCCGAAGGAGGATATGCGTCTCCGGGTGCCGTCTTTGCCGGGTCACGCCAATCCCAAGAAGCGATGCCCGAGAGCTCTGAAAAAAGAAGTTGCCAAATCGGTCGCTGGGACGTTAACCTGCGACAGACAGCCCCGGCAACCCTCCGTCAGCTCCTCTGTGCGTAGGGCAATTAAAACTGATTGTCATGAGCTGACGGCTTTACTGTCAGGCTTTTTTATTGTTGTGTTTCCCATGCCTTTTCTCATAGTGTCTATAGCAGAGAAAAAACAAATCCTGCTCGGCTGCTGCAGCCCTGGGACAGAGAGCGCTTGGTCCAGCTGCAGCACCGGTACGCAGTCGATGAGCAGCTCCCAGGCTACAGCTCGGTCATCATCTGGGGGGCAGCCAGGGGCTCCACAGGGCCCCTTCTTTCCCCCTCGGACCGGAGTTCCCTTCCCACAAGACCCCTGTAAGTCTCCCAGGGCCTGGTGTTAGCAGAGACCGAGTGCATGTGAGTAGAGTTTGCCCAAAGGCAGAGACTTTGGGGTTTGGGGTCTCTTCCATCGAAACGTGGGGTTGCTTGTGTGAGAACGGCAAAAGGGAGGTTTGTAAACTGGGAGTTTTCCTTCCACCCCGCCTGCTGCGCTCAAGGCCTGCTTCCTTGGCGAAGCAGTGCAGCTTCCCTCCTGAATTTTCTTTTTTGCAGCTGTTAAAATGAAGTATTTCTCACAGTTTTTTTATCAGAGATCAACTGGAAACATTTTCAATTTTTTTTAAGTTCAGTCCGACGAATATACTGAGCACTGAAAATTTCAGCCCTGTGCGCTACACTTGGCAAACTACTAAGCAACTGAAAGGAGAAGCTTAGCAGGGGAAAGGTTGAATGACCCGAGTGCAATTGCCCGTGTTACCTGCACTGTTTAGAGACCAAACACTGCATATCCAGCGCCTGACTCACTACGTTCCCTCTCTCCTCCAATCTCCAGCCGATGGCTCCGTCTCACAGACTGGCAGCAGCGAGGAATTTGGCTCAGCATGCTTCGAATTTGTCAGGCATTTCACCGACTTCCTCCTGCCGCTCCTGCTTCCTTGAAGAAGGGGCAGCCTGGCATCAACCATCAACTGCTCCTCGGCATGCAGAAAATGCAGCAAGGTGGTGATGGCCACCAGTTGTTCACAGAGGGGTTCAGGTGGGACATCAGGGGAGCTCTTGCCAAATGGCAGCGCCCTGGCAAAGCCCCGCTTGGCTGCTCCTCCGAGAGGGCACCTTCCAGAGGCCATGTGTTTCAGGACATTCAGGATGGGATCCCGCCACAAGCCCCAGCTCTGCTGTGTGCTCTCGGGGAGGAGGCATTAAGCTTGGCCGTGGCCTTCTTCCAGGGCTGGAAGGACGCTTGGACTCTGCCCCCAGGCTGAGCTCCCGGAGGATGTCCCCAGGAGCGGTGAAAGGAGGAGAAGCCTTGAGGGGGCTGCAAGGCTCCCCCCCGTGGGCTGCCCCATGGCAGCTGGGCCGGTGGGGCAGGTTGCCGGGCCGGCAAGGGCAGGGCTCACCTTTGGGAAGGTGCTGGTTCCCCGTGGATGCAGAGTGCCACCTACTGAGCCACCGCTCCCGGCAGCACCCGGGGTTTTTCCGCCAGGACACCCAGGCTGGGGCTGCTGCTCATCGTGCCCTTGCCTATTCTGGCTGGTCCATGCTGTTGGTCCCAAAGGACAGGGAGCTTCCCCAAAGGCTGGTGACCCCAGTAGGGTCCACCTTAGAGATCAGCAGGGAGCCTGTGCATGGAGCTGCACGCACAGGCACAGCCAGAGTCTTTCCTTGGCGTCCGCCCTGAGCCAGACCTTGTTTTCCATGGGCCGGCGGCACAGCAGGAGGACATGGGCCGGTGGTACGCTGCCCCGTTCTTGCCGGTAGAAATGAATGCCTTGGGAGCCAGGCTGGTCCTTCCCGTGCCTCGATCATCTTTTTGCTAGCCCTGAGAACCTTCCGCGCAGCCCGAGCTCAGAGAGCACCCACAGCACCCGGCGCAGGTGGCGTTGGTGCCAACTTTTTTCCCCTCCGGTCTCCATCTGCATCTGTGGAATACAGCACAGCAGCCAGCTCGGAGGGGAGGTTTCTCTCCATTGGTCTGCCTCTCTTCTCCCAGGCTCATCCCAGGGATAAAGACTGTGGCTACGCTTCCTGCTGTGGAGCAGCACGTCATCTGGCTACCTGCAGTCCCAGGGCCACAAGACCATCCTGGCAAGGACCTGATGTCCTAAGGCAGCAGTTCAGCATCTCCCACTCTGTGGTGAATCCCAGCAAATTTTGCTGACTTGACATTAATGCGCTCTCTCCTTTCACTTGGCAGCTCCTGGGACCTGCTGTCCTCCTCACTGACCATGGCCTCTCACCTTGAGATGACTAAAAAGAAAGGATGTGCCCAGGATGTGAAATTGCACACTGTCAGCTCTGGTTTGTGCCGGGAGCCCCTGGATTGGCAGAGTATTTGAATTCTATTTCCTTCTGCTTTGACCCCGGAGACCAGGGTGAAAAGCCACCCTGTTCTCACCCTGGACGGGCTGGCCAGCACGCAGCCTGTCCCTTCCGCAGCCGTGCAGTGGCAATCAATCAGGGGCGTAGGCAGGGACTCGCAGAGACGAAGCGACATCGATGCCAACAGCTGCCTGGCCTTGGCGGAGCGTGCTTGGGCATCGTGTCATCCAGAAGAGTCCTGGGTGCCAACTGCAATCTTGTTATTCACTCTCTTTACTTTTGATAAAACCCCCGAGAAATGCATGAAGGGAAAGGAAGTATCTGAAATACCTGCCCATTAATTTTCTTCACTGACATCAAATGTTTATTTTGCAGGGGCGGGCACAGGGGACCTGGGTGTTTGAACATGATCTATCCTTTCTCATCCATCCAGTTGAGAACAGGTGGAAAAGGGTAATGACTCAAATCGGAGTAGTGTCAGTCTGGGCAGCTCACCAGACTTTCACTTGTGATCTGCAGACGCCGGTATCTTCTGCTATCAGCAGCTCCCTCATAGGCAGGGAGGGAGCTTTAAAGTGAGGCATGTGTGACTCCGTTTCCTGCTGATGTAAATCAAGATTGCCATAATAAAGAGGACGTAGATGTGTAGCTGGGGTGGTGGGGAGGAGGGAAGGGGAAAGGCCTGGATATTGCCTGTCTGGAAATCGGTACAGATTTTGCTAGCCGCTAAGATAATGCGGGTGTTTGCGTAGCCGTGCATCCCTGCCGTGAAAGCCTTCAGCAGACAATTTTCATCTAAGATGGTGACGTTCTCCCTGTGCTCCATTCCTTTCCCCAAGACTTAGATTGAAGCAGGGATTGCATTAGTGAAACCTGTCCAGAAAGGGAATAATTTATGCACTTGTACTGCATCAGCTGCTTACCCTGGGGCGGTCTGCCTGGTGGCATGTGTTTTCAGTCACTCCGCATTTCACTGCAAAATCTTTCTGAGCATATCTAAAGAGAAAAAAGACAGAATCTGCTGCCCCCATGATGACAAGATATGGATTTTTTTCTCATTTATATAAATACAAATGAAAAAGTCCCCCTGAAAATCTAAGGGGTACCTTCTCAGCCAACATAAAGTCCAGCAACCCTGAGCATCCCTGCTTAATCTGATGAAACATGCAGTGGTGCTAAGGAGTTTAATGCTACCGAGTTGCAGCGGTGGGATTTTACGCTTGCTTTCCACAGGCTTTCATGAATGGCAGGCAATGGGGAACAAGGCCTGACAATTTGCAAAATATTGTGGGCCATGTCATGGCTCCTATTGTTGCCTGCTCACTGGCACTAGATACAGCCGAGCAGGACGTGCCGGGCTCAGTTTTGCTTCGGTGGTGGGGAACATGTTGCAAGCCTGTCCGGGACAGCAGTCCTGCCACGTGTTAGGAGGTTTTTTGGGAAGCTGACTGCTGTTAGCATGCTGCCCTAGGCTTTGACTGCTCTATTTTCCCCACAGCATGCACCAAGCAGCTCTCGTTTGACCAAACACATCCTCCAGCGCTCACCCACTCGTTTTTGTGCAACGGCTCAATTTGCAAATGCTCAGGGGCAGATCCTGACCCCAGCTATAATTGTAAGGGCCTGAAGCCGGGAGCTGGGTGAAGCAATACTGGATTTACACTAGAATGGGGAGCTGTCCCTCAGCTAACAATCTCCTTCTCTAATACCACGTCCTGCCATGCTGGAGAGCACTCAACATTGCTGCCCTTTCTTCCACTTCCTCGTGCAATTCACAGAAACTTCCCGCAGGACTCTCTGGCGAGGGTGGGCTCATGGCCCTACCCACGTCCTCCCCGGAGGCAGGCTCCCCACGGTACCCCAATGCAAAGCCACCCTCCTGACGATGCTTGCCTGGCCCCACGGGACAGAAAGGGGTAGGTGCTTTAGACAGGAATCCCTAAAGAAACTGAGGCCAGAGCTCAGCTGTTGTAGTCAGTGCCATTACACTGATTTACCCAGCAACATTACTGTAGCCCTTTACCCTCAATACGATAGTGTTTCACCTGCACTCCACATTATTTTATATATTCAGCATACCACGTCATTGGTAGATGGGCAAAATCATCAGATCATCTCTCTCCTCTATAACGTTTCCAGGATTGCAGCCCAGCATGGTCCATACAGAGAACACCCAGCTCCTCACTTTCCAAAGGCATACATAGCTAC